CGGAAGAGACACAATTGGTCCGGCCGCGCCTCAGCTACAGGGACACCGACTGGACACCAGCGGGACACCGGCGGGACACCGCGCGCCACCGGCCGCCCAGAAGAGACACATTTGGTCCGGCCGCGCCAGGGGTGCGGAGTGGACCTCTCACCGGCCGAAGCGTGTCTGTACATTGGCTGCCCGCGCCCACCAAAAGCTCCCAAAACGCTGCACCTCTTGGGCTCTTTCGCACTCGCGGTCGGGGAGCGCGCTCTCCCACGTCCGCCTCCGCCTCCGCCTCCGCCCCCTGGGGGGAATGCTGAGGAGAATCCCTGATGGGAATCCCTGAGAGGGGAATCCTGAGGGGAATCCTGGGAGGACTCCTGAGGGGAATCCTGAGGGGAATCTCTGAGGGGAATCCTGAGGGGAATCCCTGAGGGGAATCACTGAGGGGAATCCCTGAGGGGAATCCTGAGGACTCCTGAAGAATCCTGGGGAATCCTGAGGAATCTTGGGGAATCCTGAGGGGAATCTTGAGGGCAGTCTTGGAGGGAGTCCTGAGGGGAATCCCTAAGCGGAATCCTGAGGGGAATCCCGGGAAGGGGAATCCTGAGGGGAATCCTGGGAAGTGGAATCCTGAGGAGAATCCTGGGGAATACTGAGGGGAACCCTGAGGGGACTCGCTGGAGTCTTCCACGAGAGCTCGTGCGATGTCGACCTTCGGATCCAAACCATAGCGGTTCTCGAGGCGAGCATCACCGCCGCTTCACCACGGCCAATCAACTCATCATGTTTTCTTTGGGGTCATTCTTTGCGTAGCATTAGGTCGGGCATGTCCTCCTACATGCGGGTTTTGGAAGGAAAATAGTCAAACGGTCGAACAATACTAAAACAGCCAAACATAGTCGAAACATCGTCACCAGACTATTTTTCAACCATTCTTGAATCATTCCTCCTGTAGAAGGGGCCTTTGTCAACTCAAGCGTAGCATGGCTATGCCCTCCCCCTGCCTCCCTCCGGGGGCCTGCTGGTCTCCAGACCTGCCAGGCCGACCAGGCCAGAGTCGAGGGCCTGGACCTTCGCTCGCTGCCTCCTGCCCCAGCCTCCTGCCCCTCTGTGCTCTGGCTTCGTCCACCTCCTCCTGCTTTTCCTGCTCCTCCTCCTGCTCTTCCTCCTCCTCCTCCTCCTCCTCCTCCTCCTCCTCCCCCTCCTCCTCCTCCTCCTCCTACCCCACCCCCCCCTCCTCCCCTCCTCCACCCCTCCTCCTCCTCCTCCTCCTCCTCCTCCTCCTCTGCCCTCCTCCTGCTCCTCCTCCCCCTCCTCCTCCTCCTCCTGTCCCTCCTCCCCCTCCTCCTGCCCCTCTGTGCTCTGGCCCAGTTTCACTCCAGCTTCTCCCCCCTCGCCCTTCCTACCTGCCCGCCCCTGGACCATCCTCGCTGTCCCCTCGCCTGCCCCTCCCCTCTCCGCTCCTGCAGTTTGCCGAGTCCCGCGGTCCATGGCCAGGCGTGGAGGAAGAGGGACTGGGGGGATGAAGGGGTGGAAGATGGCGAGGAAGAGGGGTACGTGGAGCAGGAGGATGAGGAGGAGGAGGAAGAGGAGGAGGGGGTCAAAAGCCCATGAGGTTGAGGAGTACGATGATGCTGCAGATGGTGGAGATGATGCTGCTGATGCTGCTGCTGCTGATGATGACTATAAAGGCGATGCGGATGAGTATACTGATGATGCTGCTCCTGCTGCTGCTGCTGATGATGATGATGATGATTATGCTGATGCTGATGATGCTGATAATGATGCTGGTGGTGATGTCGACGACGACGATGATGATGATGATGATGATGATGATGATGATGATGATGGTGGTGGTGGTGGTGGTGGTGGGGACGACGATGCTGATGCTGATGATGATTCTGATGATGATGACGATGATGATGTTGACGATGATGCTGATGTTGACGATGATGACGACGCCGATTATACTGCGTTTGAGGATGATGTTGATGATGCTGATGATGATGATGATGATGACAATGATGGTGTTGGTGGTGGTGGCGGTGATGGTGACGGTGGTGATGATGATGCTGATGGTGATGATGCTGATGATGCTGATGCTGATGCTGTTGATGATGATAACGATGACGATGACGATTTTGACGACGATGATGATGATGATGATGATGATGATGATGATGATGATGGTGATGGTGATGGTGATGCTGATGCTGACGCTGATGCTGCTGCTGATGGTGACGAGGAAGATGCTCGTGAGGACGATGGCAACTCATGCTGGTGATGGTGAAGATGGTAGTACTGGCTGTGGTGATGCTGTTGATGGTGATTGTGAGATGATGGTGATGCTGCTGATGATGATGTTGCTGTCGTTATGCTGATTATGATGTTGGTGCTGGGATGCTGATGATGATGCTGATGATGATGATGATGATGATGATGGTGCTGTTGATGAAACTGATGACGATGATGACGATGATGATGATGATGATGATGATGATGATGCTGATGATGATGATGATGATGATGATGATGATGGCGGTGGTGGTGGGGACGACGATGCTGGTGCTGATGATGATTCTGATGATGATGACGATGATGATGTTGACGATGATGCTGATGTTGACGATGATGACGACGCCGATTATACTGTGTTTGAGGATGATGTTGATGATGCTGATGATGATGATGATAATGCCAATGATGGTGTTGGTGGTGGTGGCGGTGATGGTGACGGTGGTGATGATGATGCTGATGGTGATGATGCTGATGCTGATGCTGATGCTGCTGATGATGATAACGATGACGATGACGATTTTGACGACGATGATGATGCTGATGATGATGATGATAATGATGATGATGATGGTGATGGTGATGCTGATGCTGATGCTGATGCTGCTGCTGATGGTGACGAGGAAGATGCTCGTGAGGACGATGGCAACTCATGCTGGTGATGGTGAAGATGGTAGTACTGGCTGTGGTGATGCTGTTGATGGTGATTGTGAGATGATGGTGATGCTGCTGATGATGATGATGATGTTGCTGTCGTTATGCTGATTATGATGTTGGTGCTGGGATGCTGATGGTGATGCTGATGCTGATGATGATGATGCTGATGCTGTTGATGAAACTGATGACGATGATGACAATGATGATGATGATGATGATGATGAGGATGAGGATGAGGATGATGATGATGATGATGATGATGATGATGATGATGATACTGATGATGATGCTGATGATGATGATGATGATGATGATGATGATGATCATAGTGCGGTTGATGATGCTGACCATGATGCTTATGATGACGACGGTTACGCTGATGATGCGGATGATGATGCTGATGATGATGACGATATTTCTGCTTCTGCTGATGTTGCTGCTGCTGCTGACGATACTACTGCTGCCGATGATGCTGGTGATGCTGATGATGCTGATGATGATGCTTATGATGCTGATGCTGATGCTGCTGCTGATTATGCTGATGTTGATGTTGCTGCTGCTGATGATGGTGGTGAGGATGCTGATGATGAGTATGATGCTGATGCTGATGCTGATGATGCTGATGATGCTGATAAGGATGATGCTGCTGATGATGGCGCTGCCGATGATGCTGCTGATGATGATGATGCTGATGCTGATGCTGATGATGACGATGATGATGATGCTGATGCTGATGATGATGATGATGATGATGCTGATGCTGATGCTGATGCTGATGATGATGATGATGATGGTGATGATGATGCTGCTGCTGATGATGATGATGATGATGAAGATGATGATGATGATGATGATGCTGATGATGATGATGATGATGCTGATGACGATGATGATGATGATGATGATGATGATGATGATGATGATGATGATGATGATGATGATGATGATGATGATGATGATGATGCTATGATGATGATGATGATGATTGATGATGATGATGAGGAGGAGAGGAGAGAGAGGAGAGGAGGAAGAGGAGGAGGAGGAGGAAGAGGAGGAGGAGGAGGAGGAGGAGGAGGAGGAGGAGGAAGAGACGGAGGAGAAGGAGAAGAGGAGGAGGAGGAGGAGGAAGAATTGGAGGAGGAGGAGGAGGAGGAGGCGGAAGAGGAGGAGGAGGAGGGGAGGAGGAGGAGGATGAGGATGAGGAGGAGGAGGAGGAGGAGGAGGAGGAGGAGGAGGAGGAGGAGGAGGAGGAGGAGGAGGAGTAAAAGGAGGAAGGGTAGCAGGAGCGAGAGGATGAAGAGGATAATGATGGGGAGGATGCGGAGCGAATAAAGGACGCCGCGAGTGGCGACATGAGGTGAGGAGCGCACAATGGGTCCGAGACGTAGGCCCGCGGGTCGGGTCTTCTAAGCAAGTGGAAGTCCAGGCATGCCCATGGCCAGGCTTGAAAGAGGGGGACGATCGGAGGTCCAGGGGGAGGAACATCTGGAGGCGGAGCAGGAGGAAGCGGCACAGGAGGACCAGGATGATGAGGGTAATGATTCTGGAGGAGGAGGAGGAGTGGGAGGAGGAGGAGAAGGAAGAGGAGGAGGAGGAGGAGGAGGAGGAGGAGGAGGAGGAGGCGGGGGAGGAGGAGCGAGAGGAAGAGGACGAGTAGTAGGAGGAGGAAGAGGAGGAGGAGGAGGAGGAGGAGGAGGGGGAGGAGGAGGAGGAGGAGGAGGAGGAGGAGGATGCGGAGGAGGAGGAGGAGAAGGAGGAGGATGCTCAGGGAGGAAGACAGTGAGGATGGAGTAAATGGGTGGAGCATGGGGGCGGATAAGAGTTGATGTTGGTGATGACGAATGCGATGACTACGATACTGGTGTTGACGACGAGGATGCTGAGGATGCTCAAGAGGATGATCAGTGATAAGTGTGAGGATGCAGAGTTGGAGAGGCAGAGGAGGAGGAGGAGGAGGGGAATATGAGATAATGGGGGTGATGGGGAGGAGGCGGACGAGGAATCAGATGACGATGAGGAGGATGAGCAGGACGATGATGAGGGTAGCGAGGATGAGCATGGCGCCGACGATGATGCTGCGGATGCACCTCTCTTTGGGCTCAAGCCGAGGTGTGCTCTCTTACTGAAGCATTCCCATTACGTTACCTTGATGCTGCGAGGCTCGCAGCCTTCCATATAGTACTACAATGCAGTGTCTGAGATGCTGCACATTCTGCGTCCTTTGGCTGCCCTGCGCGGCCCTGCTTGATGCCCTCAGGTTTTTCGGAGCCAGCGGTCGGCGCGACTTCTCCGCCAGAGAGCTGACCGGCGAGGGGGAGTCCATGGACAGAGGAGAGCTGCAGGACACCAGGCCGCGCCACCGGGCCGCCCGCACGTGCCCTGGCTGGGACAGTCCCGGGGGCCCTGGGTCTGCCGGCACGCCTTTCTTGGCCCGGCATGAAGTCGGGCCTGTCCTTCTGCAGGAGGAATTGTCAAGCAGAGTTGAAAAATAGTCTGGGGACGGTTATTTAGTATTTGCGTATATTTGTCGAATATTTTTGGGTATTCTGTATTTTTCGTCCAAAGCCCGCCTGTAGGAGGACACGCCCGACCTGAGCCTGCCAGGGCGGGGGCGTATTCGCAGACCGTGGGCCCGGGACGGTCTTGGCTGGCCAGACGTGTGGGTTGGCACCTGACCTTGTGAGCGTTTTTTTTTATTCGGCGTTTCGACATTGGGCGGAAGCGAGGGGGAGGGGGGGTGGCCTGGCTCCGGACCTCTGCTTAACGCGGCTATGTGGGACCGTGCGTCCATTATGGGGATGGCTCCACCTGCTCGAAACAGGCGCCAAAGTCAGCCAAGATCCGCTCCAGGGGGGGTCGGGTGGGGAGGGGGGTTTGGGGCCCGCGCCGATCGGCAAAACCATGAATACAACAACGATCACCTTCGACGCTTTTTGCTTCGCTCTGTTTCCAAAGATATGCTACCCTTTTGGCGCAGCGGGCCGGTTTCGGCAGGCCCCACGGCCTGAAGTCGCCCTCGGACGCCGCAAGCTCGGGCACACCCTTTCTTTCTTGTATGTTGGTAATTCTGTTGACTTCTCCGTCGATCGATTTCTCGTCTTTTTCGCGCTTCGAGATATGTCTCCCGTAATGGCTGGCGTCCTCCCAGGCTGGCCTCGCAGAGCTTCAGGGACTACCAGAGCTTCAGGAGTCACCGGCTTGACCGTCGTCAGGGTCAGGCAGCCCGGAAGCAGGCTCCCTCCTGCTATTGCTTTTTCTCCTGTTGCCTCTCCTACTCTTCCTTTCTCCTCCTTTTCTCCATCCTCCTCCTCCTCCTTCTCTTTCTCTCCCTTTTCCCTCCTGCTCCTTTCCTCCTCCTCCTCCTCCTCCTTTTACTCTTCCTGCTCCTGCTCCTCCTCCTCCTCCTTCTCCTCCCCCTCCCCCTCCCCCTCCTCCTCCCGCGCCCCCTCCCCCTCCTTCTCCTCCTCCTCCTCCTCCTCCTCCTCCTCCTGCGCCCCTTCCCCTCTCCCTTCTCCTCCCCTCCTCCTATCCTCTCCTGCTCCCGCTTCCTCCTCCTCCTCCTCCTTCTCTTCCTTCCTCCCCCTCCTCCTCCTCCTCCTCCTCCTCTT